AAGTGCATCGTCGTGGGGTTAGTGGACCCCGCGCGCATCGTCTTCGGTGAAGAATATGGGGTCTTCCGTCCTAGGCCGCTTCGGGGGATTTTGTTCTTCTCTGGTGGCCTCCCGGGTTGATGCCCGAGCTGCTGCCGAGGTGCATCCTACTACGATCGATCCTCCAACGATCACATGGATTGTTTCCCAAACTGGTCTTTCCTCTGGGGGCTCCTTCTACGGTTCAGCTGACTGGCTGCTGGACTTGGGAGCATTTCTATTGTGCTCCCCCTGCCGACCTGTCTTATTACTATTATTATTATTATTATTATGCTATACAAAATTTCTCAAGTACCTGTGACGGAAACTGCAGGATAAGTTTTTATTCCTCTCGTTCGGGTTTCCCTTCAGACGAGGTGGCCACTTCACATACGGGGGGCGTCTTTGATCATCATTAAGATCTCAGCCCGCTTCGCGTTTAAGGGCGTGTAGTCCGTCCGACCTGCTAAGGGAGCTCGGACGACTGGCTTGGCTTCGTCCCTCGAGGTGGGTCTTTCTTTCTCGTGTCATCTGGGTTGGAGGGCTCGCCTTCCCTCTTCCTTTTCTCAATCCCGCTTTCAGTCCTTTGGTTGATCTATTCCTCTATTCTTATAAATTTGTCTGTGAGCTTGAGGAATTCAGCCACGGTCGCGGGCTGGTTAACTACCATGTGCCACCTGAACTCCTTGTGTGTCACACCCCTCTTGGCTGCCGCGAGCTGTACCATAGGGTCTAGGCGCGGTATCTGCAAGCATGTGTCATTGAACCGTTTGATATAGCCCCAGATGGACTCTCCTTCCCTCTGGACTATTCTGAGGAGTTTCTCCTCGGTTCGGGGGCACCTCTTGCTAGTAATGAAGTGCGCAGTGAAGACTTGCATGAACTAGGTCCAGTTTCTTATTGACCCAGGGGCTAGGTTCATGTACCAAGTGTGAGCCACTCCCTGAAGGTGGTAGTGAAGGCCACACACATGTAGGACTCGCTGGCCCTCGCCAGCTGCATTTGGGACTGGAAAGCATCGACGTGGTCATTGGGATCAAAGGACCCATCATACTTGTCTAGGGGGGGAGTTTGAAATCTTTGGGAATGGGAACCGCAAGGAGTTCTGATGATAGAGGGGAAGGAACTGAAAGAATAGGGACAACTTTTACCTCGTCCGAGCTTGTTTCTTCTTTACCTTGGAGCTCGGGCAGGATGTGGGTGGTAGTTCGGCAACTTCGTCGGCGTCTTTGTTGCTGGTTAGAAGGCCTAGTATTGGCGCTACTTGCCTCGGTGTTGCCGAGCTCGATCAGCCCGGACTGTTGGTAGTCCGCGGCCAAGACGCCAAATTGGTTCTCTACCAGTGGGAACTCGAACTTAAAGTGTCGAGGTGCTGACTTGATCGGCAAGGAGGTTCCTGATCCGCCGGCGAGCTGCGAGGCGGGGGTAGTTAGTCTTTCCCTCCTGCCCGGGGATGAGGCCTGGCTCCTGGAGGGGTTCTGAAGCTGGGAGGCTTCCCCTCGGTGAAGGTGCCCGCCCTGAGGGGAGGGCTTGACCGGCCTGGGAGCAGGATGCCGAGGTAGAAGCTGCGGTTGGTTTAGAGGCAGTTGGGGGAACTGCTGTTTGTAGTGATGTTGGGAAATGTGGTGTAGTACTTGCTGCTGATGGAGCTGATATTGCTGGAACTG